TGTGTGTGTGTGTGTGTGCGTGCGTGCGTGTGTGCGTTTGCCTTGTGGCACACTCTGCCATGACGCTCTCGGCATTGCAGCTCCCTCTCACCAACGTCCATGTGCACACACACACACACACACACACACGCACACACACACACACACATAGCTGGTGAAACAGTATGCAGCCTTGTTGGCCAAGCTTGCACGTTCAGATGTCCCTGGCCAGTGGCCGGAGTTCCTGCCAACTCTCATCAACGTACGCAAGCGCTCGCGCGTGTCTGTGCCTGTGAAAGTGTGTTTTTGTGTCTGTGTAAGTGTGTGTCTGTGTATGTGTGTGTGTGTGTAAGTGTGTAAGTGTATGCGCTTGCCACACACTCGCTCAAACACGTGCATATGTATGCACCACCGCTCTGTCCAGCATCTTGAGCAGCCGGACGATCGCGTGCGCATGCGTGCCATGCTCTTCCTCTATCACGCCGTCAAGAGTGCGTCTGCACTGTCACAGCGCGCTGCTGGCAGTGGGCATGTGTGTACGGTCCCGTCCTGCTTGCTTGAGCTGGCTGAGCATCTAAACCAAGCACCCACAACACACACACACACACACACACACACACACACACACACACACACTCTCTCTCTCTCTCTCTCTCTCTCTCTCTCTGCATACTCACGCGAGACACACACGCACGCACATGCATGAACACAGAGATTGTGACCCGGCGCCTGGCGGGCCAACGCCGCGCTTTTCAAGAGGTCATTGTGAACACGAACGTGTGCCTGTCTGCATGCAGTGGTGTGACCCGTACACTACTCCCCACCTCACTTTCCCTCGTTCAACTGACGCTTTCCCACTTACGTACAAATGCGCATACACGCATAATAACACTCGTACAAACAAACACGCACAAACACGCAAACACAATCACACAAACACAAACACGCAAACACAATCACACAATCACAATCACAATCACACATTGCGCTCACACAATCACACTCACACATTGCGCACACACATTGCGCACTGCAGACTGCTGTGGAGGTGCTACCGATAGTGCACGGCGTGTTCACAACGCTGTTCACTCAAGTGCAAGAGACGTTCGCAGCGGATGGCAACGAGGACGTCCTGGCACACACGCGCGCGAAGTTGGAGGAGGCCCGAACAGCCCTCAAGTGTCTGCGCCAACTCATCGCACACGGCCTGCTGGTATGCCGAAGCCGCAGTGTGCATGGACACTGTGTGTGTGTATCTGTGCTTGAGTGTGTGTGTATCTGTGCTTGTGTGTGTGTGTGTGTATCTGTGCTTGAGTGTGTGTGTGTGTATCTGTGCTTGAGTGTGTGTGTGTGTGTGTATCTGTGCTTGTGTGTGCTTGTGTGTGTGTGTGTGTGCGTATCTGTATCTGTGTACATGTCCACCTACTTCATCTCTTCAACAAGTCACCTCCCTCCGCCACCACCACCACCACCATCACTATCCTGCCCAAAGGACATGACGCTGAGTGCATCGGCAGGCGCCACCGTCGAATCCCTCCCAGATGTTGCCCGCATTCTCATCGCAATGGGTCAGTGGCTGAAACTCGTGGTGGTGTTGGTGGTGGTGGCGTATGAAGGGGAAGCACTCACATTTCTTACCTGTCGTGCATTCAAGTGGTGTATGCACAGTCATCATACCACCAACCAACCACTCATCACCACCATCATGACAACAGCGTCAGCGGACGTGGTGGCAGAGTCTCCCCTGTTCGATTCCATTCGCAAATTCACGCGTCTCATCTACAAGACTGTACGTCAAATCACACAAGTGTCGCTTATGGTGTGTGCGTTTGTGTTTGTGCTTGTGTTTGTGTTCGTTGTGTGTTCGCACATGTGCTTTCACGTGACCACAAGCGCATGTCTCCTGTGTGCTGGTGTGCACACCCATCTCGTGCTTCAATGCTCACCAATCTCCTACCTCATCCCACTTGCAAACCCACGTGCCTGTGGTTGCCCCTTCCCTCATGTCCCCTCCGTTCCTCCCTGCTGCCTCCCTCCCCCAGCTGCATGATGTGCAGCAGAATCACTCGGTCGCGTTTGCGCCGCACCTGAGCTCATCTGTCGGCTTCTATTACCAAATCTTCCACCCACAACCAAACTCAGACCTCCTGCAAGGTGTCTGTCGCGTGTTTATTTTTCTCACCATGTCCTTTCGTTTCATTCGATGCACACGAGTGCTTGTGTGCTTCTCGATGTTACAATGCCTCTTTCTTGCATGTATCCTTCTCGCATACATGAGCACGTGCCTCACCTCTCTTTGGCATCCTCCCTCAACCACCTAACCTGTGCATGTGTGTATGTGTGTGTGTGCGTGTGCATGTGTATGTGTGTGTGTATGTGTGTGTGTGTGTGTGCGTGTGTTCCTTCAGCGCCATCCGAGCTTCAGCGTGATCTCCGCATCCACGCGGCGCAATTCGTAAGCTGAAAGAGCCAGAGAGACGCCCTGGTGCACTTGCACATGTGTGTGTGTATATGTGTGTGTGTGTGTGTGTGTGTGTGTGTGTGTGTGCTCTTAGGGTTTGTAACACATTCCATTCCAATTGAGCAGCGACACGCAGTGTTGTATTTCCATGCCCCCCCCTTCCACCTAGACCCTCCTCACCCCTCCTCTCTCCTCTCTCCTGTTTGCGAACCACGACACCGCGGCCAGCTCTCGCGTGTGCTGAAGAACAGGCGCTATCGAGCCGATCTGGAGCCATCGACATCGTCGCCATCACTATCCCATGAGGAGGTTGCGGCGCGTGCTGCTGGCGGCGCTGTCTTGACGCCTGATGTCATTGCTGCTCTCATCCACTCCATCCTCACGCACGACCTGAACACAGTGCGTGTGTGTTGCGTGTGTGTGTGTGT